GCCCCCTCTCCGTCCGTTCTGACCGGTGAGCACTGGCCGATCGGAGTGGGGGGAATCCAGCCCCTCCCCTGTCACGGCAGAGAGCCGTAACAGGATCGAGAGGTGAGTGAATGCCGGTATGTGTTCACTCACCTCCGGATCTACTGAGCCGACCTGTGACAGTCTCATTGTCACAGGTCGGCTAGAACTATGAGGTGAGTGAAAAGCACTCACCTCATAGTTCTCCTTTAAGAGCAGATATTGGTGAATGACATTTTAATAAACAAGAGTCCGCAAATATTTGATCAATCGGAAGAATTCATGAGTTATTAGCCAAGCCCTGTACACGGCACGAGGCTTAGCAAATCCTCTTAGATGACTATGAGAACTCTGTTTATTCACTAGATTGCTTACACCAAAAATAACTTTCATTTCCATACTGATGGAGTCTCTTTTGCATCTCGAGGACCTTGCCAGACTATTGATAAAACTGTCCTTGCCTCCGCACTCAATTCAACCACATCTACATATGACAATGCTCTGCAGCCACCTAGTGGTATAGCAGCAGCAACACTGGTTCCCCACAACGTAATAAAAGAAAACTTAAAACATGAATGCAACTTTAAAAAAAGAAGCTTTATTGTCCTAGTACAGGAGCCAAAACACTAATGGGAGAGATATGTTTTTGACATCTGATGGGCAGAATGAAGTCTGCATAGTTACAAAATAAAATCAAAAGGTAAAGCAATTCCATATAACTGACACAAGTGATGTATACACAGAAATAACACTAGATGATCCCTTAACTTTAAGAAAAAAATGTCTTTGGCATCTTGCCATCATGGCACCAAATGGGAGACATATGGAGGTAAGAGCAGAGTGTTACAAACTAAGCATGCATTATGAAGGCACGTTAATGGGGACTTGGAAAGGTCACTTGGGCTCCATCACAAAGTATACATTAGGTATGAGCATGACAGCCATGGGGTGGTGGTTTGATGATGGCACATTCAAAATGTATTATAGCCAACCAGGCAATCTGAAAGGCACCATCAGCAATAATAAACTATAAGGAAATATAATAGTAGCAAAATACAGGGGGTAATTCAAGTGGTATACGTTGACATTTGTTCAGCAGTTAACAGAAGAGCAGATATTGATGACAGTTTATGGCAAACATGACCAGGTACAAAATGGGATGTATAAAAAAAAAAAAAAAGGTATATTGGATACACAGATATAGACAAAGGTTACATGCATCAGAGGATATTACCCCCTCTGTTGTAAAGAAACAGATCAGAGTATATAATACTGCAAGGATACAATAAAATACTAAGGAACAATGTGCAATATGCGCATGAGTTTTGCCTTGTTGATGTTTAAAAACATCTGTCAAAGTCAACAAGAGACAGAATCACTATATGGATATAACCAGAATTCCCAGTTTACTTCACTCAGCAATTGAGACAACTTCAAGCCCCGTCCTAATCTTCCCCCTATATCAGCAAACTGGATTCATTATCAGAAAGGCCAAACCAGCCTTTTCCCAAAACAGACACTAAGGAGGTATGTTTACCTCTACCTCCAAATCACAGTTCCAGAGCAAACAAAGACAATGGCTGGTCAAGGAGCACTGCTCCTGCACCAAAAGAGAAATAAAAATATCAGGTTGGAAAATGTCATAAATGCAATTTAAATATCTCAGAAAACATTTTATACATATAAAAAAAAAATTCCAACAAGTGTTTCAGCTGTTTGACAGAAATGTCCCCTGCAAGAGTCTGTTCTACTTATTTCATGTCATTAAATAATTCAAGGGAGGCAAAGCAAATAGCTATAGTTAGTCCTTTATTTCATAGTAAGGGCTCAAACCTTTTGCTAGGTATTAGGGATGGATATGTGATTTCTACTCTTTGCCTAGCCTCACTTTCCTACCAGACTGATTAGCCAATTTAGTAGCTGCATATGTATGTAGCTGTATCTGCTTAAAAGGGGTTGCAGTTTCCAACTGGGTGCTAAACAAGACACATTCCCTAAGGAAAATGGTCTATAAACTTCTAAAACTGTTATTTTACTGTTTTTAAATAACCAAATAGAACAATTCCAGATTGCGCATCAGCTACTGATATAGTTATATGAGCACAGTGATGCGAATGCACAGATGCAGGTGGTAAGCATACCCTATTCCTAGCATTGGTTGCCTTACCACACTCACGTTTCAGATGTGCTATTACACTGTCACATTTTTTTTTTTTTTTTTTAATTAGTCCTTTAAAAAAATGTTCTCTGATTATTTTGGAAATATGAAAAAATAGTGCATAAGGTTGAAAGGGAAAAACATATATTTGCAGCTTTGTTCACCTATTACTGTATATTGCTGCCCTCTATTGACCACAATATAATATTACCCATTGCCTATGACAGGTGATCATAAAAGCTATGTAAAAAGTTGAAAAGAAAAATATGAATTTGCCGTACAAAGGATGAAATAGTCGCTTCCAATGTTACAAAGCCATTTTGTTGGCCTTTTAGCACTTTAGGGATTTAATACAAGGTACTGAAGTACGTCTGAAAGCAAATGTATATTTATCAGAAAACATTTTAAGTATCATGTTGAGCTTTTCGTGTTATCGCTGCTCTGAACATGAAACAAAAACATAAAACAAAGTTTTAAACTGTACAGTCCTGCCAAGACCATGATGTCACTGTCAACAGTGGCTGAAGTGTGACTTGGCCAGGAATAATAATTCGTTTGGAGATGGCCAAATATGGAGAAGACGGGACAATTTGGCTTTGCTTACGCTACCTCTGCTAACAATTCCATAATCCAGGGGGGGGAGCAAGATTAGCAGTCATCTCCTCTATGGTGGAATCACAATACAGCCATTTACAGGTCAGTTCTACTGCCTATTAGCATCAGAGCATGCTGGGATTTGTAGTTCAGAGGCTGTTCACATAGCAAGCTGTTCTCTCGTTAAGCGAGATGTGAATCAAATTGGAATGTATTTTATTTTTTTTTAACAAAAAGTAAAAACTATAAATTAATGGACTAATTAAATAGGAGTGAAAGTAGGAGGCTAGTGAATTGTGTAAACTCAGCAAACCATTATGGCTTCTTTCTTAGATAATTGGAAGGTATCCAGCCCTCCCAAATCGGGCCTCCACTAAGAACCCTGCAGAACCACCAGCCACTAGAACTCTTCTCCTGAACCTCAAATACGGTTCCTTCTTTAAAGCTACTCGAATCATCATCTCCATCAAAATCAGCAATGGCCACATACTGAGAAGGCGGAGTACCAGATATAGGTTTTTCTTTTGTTTCTGATTTATCTGCTAGCTTTGGTGCTGGCATCTTGGGAACAAAGCTATTTTTCACTCTGGTATCATCACTACCTGATGAAGAAATGAGTGGCTTGGCTTTAGGAGGAACCATTATAGGTCGATTGGCCATATGAGCAATTGTAAAATCAGAATTTTCTTTTGGTTGTGTTGCCTTGCCTTCATTTGTTTCACTGGGCATTGAAACTTTCTTGGGAGGAGGTGGTCTTCTTGGTGGAATCGCAGGCCTCTGGGGTGGGTCTCTCGCAGCCTTTGGTTCAATGTCAGCAGTCCTCAGTGGTACTGGAAGTGCTTTAGAAGGGGGTTCACCAGGAATACTATTGTCCTGCTTGTACAGATGTTTTTGATCAGGTTTATCAAGGGGTCTGCCAGCAGCCCCTATACAGTTGTACACTGTAATATCGCTCACCACACTGCTTGCACAAGGCTCCTGCTCATTACCTTTATCTAATGATTTCCCAGAGGGTTTAAGTCTACTTCTCAAATTTGAAATGTCAACCTTCTCTTCTGAGTTGACCTCAGTTTTGCCTGTGGCAACTGGTTTGGGTCTGACCTGTGGTTTAGCTTTGACAAAAGGGTTTGGAGCCATTAATTCAGGTTTCTCTGCTGCTATCTCAGGCTTAGGTTTGTTGGCGACAGGCTTAAGCATTGGCTTTTTTAGCTCTTTGGGTGACACTTTGTGTCCACACTCAAGACCCATTTCATTTTTCAGCTGAAACATTTTGCTCTTATCATTTTTCATCTCTGGTTTTTTGACCTCTTTTAAAGAAACTTGCTTCTGAGGACTTGGTGCCATCATGCTGGTTAAAGGTTTTGGAGGGGGAGCCCGATGCTGTGGCATGCTTGGTCGCTCAGAAACATCTTCCGTTTTTAACATGGATTCACGTCTTGGAGGTAGGCTTGGCTTCTCCTCCCCATCATCCCCAGCTGCCTCATCATATACACTATTTAAAATGTGTTCTTTGCCATCAAAGAGAGAACTTTTTAAACTTTGATCTTTGTTCTTCCACTCCTTTGACCATTTTGGCATTGGATCTGTACCATTTTGTGGTGGTTCAGGCAGTGGCCTACATGGCCCAGATGCTTCTTCCACAGAGGTATTTTCTGTAGAAGCATTAGACAAGCACAGCTGGGCCATCTCGTTTGGTAAAGGAGCCAAAAAATTGGGCCTTGAGGCATTGGTAGTTTTCTTGTACTTGTCAATAAAAGTGGTAGGGGCCCAGCCCTCCTTATCATCAATCTGTATATACCACCAACCACTATGGTTCTTTTCGATAACCTAAAAGAAAATCCATAACAGGTTATTAAAGAAACTAGATCTAAAAGTCCTTCAAGAAAAGTATGCTTAATTCTAGTCATCAACACTCATCTGCAGTAACAATTGCTTATAAAACAGTTTCACAACCTGCAATACTGCATGCACATGTAAATATGGCTATCTGCATTGGGGGAACGAGGTTTACATGAGATACCTTAAGGTAGAACTGAAACCAAAACTATTTATTTACAGTGATACCAATGCCAATACTTGGCATTTTCATGAGAAGGGTTGCAGCACCAGGGTTGCAGAAGTTGCAGCTGGGACAATTCTCTGGCTCTCCACCACTGTCCTGAAATCATTAGTCTCTATTGTTTTAGAAAAACTGTCACATGACAACAAAAATGTATCCGTACTTGTAAGTACTTGGGCAAGTATCAGTACTTGCAAAAATGGTATCTGTGCATCCCTTATATATATTTATAAAAACAAAATCATACATTAAAACAGAGATGTACAAATCCCAGGAGCTCCGTGTGCTCCTTACAAATGACAGCTGCCTCCTAACCTTTGAATTTTTCTCTAGTCTTGGAGCTGGAAAAGTATCAGTACTTGTACCGAGTACAGTACTTGGTATCGGTGCATCCCTAAAAATTATTATTTGATCTCCTGTAGATTTTGTAAGTTTGCCCACTTTCAAAGAGATGTAAGGTCTATAATTTGTATCATAAGTGTATTTTAAATGATAGAGACAGAATATCAACCAAAAATCCAGAAAAAAACCACATGGTACAAATGTTATAAACTGAGTTGCAGTTGTAGTCATGAAGGGGTTAATCCTATAGAAAATGTATGGAGGGAGCTGAAACTTCAAGTTGCCAAGTGACAGCAAAGAAACCTTAAGGCTTTAGAGAAGATCTGTAAAGAAGAGTGGACCAAAATCCCTTCTGAGATGTGTGCAAACCTGGTAACCAACTTCAAGAAACATCTTACCTCTGTGTTTGCCTACAAGGGTTTCTCCACCAAGTACTAAGTCATGTTTTGCTTCGGGATCAAATACTTATTTTACACACTGCACTTCAACTCAATTTATAACATTTGTATTGTGTTTTTTCTGGATTTTTGGTTGATATTCTGTTTCCATCATTTAAAATACACCTATGATAAAATTATAGACCTTTCATTTCTTTGTAAGTGGGCAAACTTACAAAATCTGCAGGAGATCAAATAATTTCCCACACTGTATCTATTTTTTTTAGTTTCAGACAGAGTAAAGGAAGGCTATAACCCCTCAGCTATTTTAAATCTGTGTCCTGTATGAGATTTCACTTCACTTCCTGTCCAATAGCCAAAACAATCCTAGTGATCAGCAGGGTCACCATAACTAGTTTGGAAGATTTCCCATTTATTACTGTTCTGGTGGCAACCCAAAATGTGGGATTTTATTTTACTAATAATAATCAGGACCAATAGTGTCAATCTACCTAACGGTAACACAAAACAATTAACACCTGAAATGTGTTCGAATCCCTCTCAACTCTATCCAAAACTAAAAAAAGTTTTGGGTTCAGTTGCTCTTTAGCACAATTATAAAAATGAACCCCTGCTTTAGATACAGATTGAGGAGGGTACAGGAAAACTGTACTGAGAGAGATATGGAGGCTGCTAGTGCAGAGCTCCTTCTGAAAATTCTAGTACACTGGGGCTGCTATCTCTAGTTTCAATAGTTTCTGAATCACTGATCAAGTACAAGCATAAAAAAACTCTGGAAGTCAAAGTTCCTGATTTGCTCCGTAACTGTTCAGTTCGGTGACTTTACAGTATTAGAGCCAGGCATCTAGCACCTAGCATTCCAAAAAAAAAGTTTAGCACTGGAAGCCTACATAATTTTCAGTATAGGTTCCAATAAGAAAGATAACTCAGGTTCAAGGGAACTTTTTAATACAGCCGTTATGTGGCCCACCTAAGCTTTATATCCAGCTTTAGAGTCTGGTATGGCTACAATCCTGAAATCATCTATCTGATATTTATAGAGCGTATGAGACCTGCACAGCACAATAACATGCCCACTACAAAACTAAAAACACTTCCTGGGGTCAGGAAATGTAGCCTTGCATGTTGGATGGAAACCTCAGCTGTGATAGTAACTATTGCCGAGACTGCTTCCCTTTCAAAAGGCAAGAGCAGGTCTACAAAAGTTAAAAGGTAACTGGCTATGATTAAAGAGTGGGAGGGGGGAGTGATCAGCATCAATAAAAGCCAAGCTCAAATGACCGTCTACCTAGCAACTGTCTGGATCCCATTCTATTAGTATCTATCAAAACATACAGCTGAGCAATATGTAAAGTTAAAACCTCACCTCAACTTTCAGTCCAGCCTGGAAGCTGATTCCATCGGGTATGATGGTCTGGAAATCTGCAATGGTGTAATACTCTTCTTCAACATGTGGTGGAGTAGGAGGTTTTGGGAGATTTAGTCCCCGAGGCTGAGGAAACAAATTAGAGAAATATGTCAACATAATTTCAGTCTATTGTAATGGTAATACCAAAAAAGGAGAGACTTTTGGCCGGTGGACTGTCCCACCTCAAGAAATGTACTACTGGTCCATCACGCTAATGGGTGACCTCGCTAATAAACAGCAAGATAGCATATCTTCTTTACAGAACACCTCAGGTTACAGGGGTACCAGGGTGTTTTTACAAGAAATTGGAGGCAACGTGCAGGCAGCTGTCCCACACTTAATAGCACCATGATGAATGAACAATGGTCGGATTAAGCACATTACAACAAGATCAAAAACTTTCACATCTCCCATCATGTTCCTGGCCAATCAACATCTACCTTGACAAATTTGTGACTATGCTGGTTAGATTGAGGTGACAAAGTTACCCTATGGCTATAAATGGCAGTTTATGTTCCTGACACTCATTAGAACTAAGGAAGACACTTCGATGAGTGGTAAAAAGGTCTATAAAATAAAAAACTAAGAAGTCTAGCTGAATGTGAATAACTACTACATGCTTATACCATGGCAGACATGTGTTAATGATTATTATTATTAAAGTTCGCTTTGCAAAGAATACCAAATCATGTGCAAGGAACACTCCATTAGTAAATCCACTCCTACGAGTCTACCAACCCACCAAAAATGTGGCTTTTTTCACACAATGGGTCAGCAAGAAGGCAGTGTTACTGCAGTCACACAATGGGTCATCAAGAACGGAGTGTTACTGCAGTCGCTAATATACAAAGATTTTTATTGTATAAAATAATTACATTTGGAACATAAACATTACACTGATTACGCTGAATGTAGTTTTAAAGTGAGCACATGCTTTGCACTAAGTATAGCGATACTTTACACTGAATGTAGTTTTAAAGTGGATAAACCTTAGATAAACATGAACTAATATTTGACACCATGGACCATACATTCCTGCATGCACCTTTATTATGATCAGAGTTTTTTCTATACGGCCCTAAAGCTTCAACACCCCAACACACTCAGCAAGTAGAGGCCCATTGAGTTTGGAGTCAGAACTGGCCCCTAGCCCTTACATTGCAGATAGGCCAATAGACAGGTATATGCACAGCTTCGATTTCTGAGATCAGGTTAAGACCTACTTGCTAATTGGTTCCAGGCTCCTGGGCCTTAAATACACCTAAAAGGTAAGTGCACTAGTTTTGTTTTTTTCTATGCAATGCTGAGAAAAAAAACTAAACAAAGGAAAATGAAAAAAAGGAAAACGTGAACAAACAAAAAGTGTCTGCATTGTAACAGTAGCCCCCTTATGTAATACAGAGTAAGTGCCAAAATGAAAGATGGGTATTGCTGGTAATAAAGGCGGAGGAGCGCCTGCAGAGGGAGAGGAGCATGATGTAAGATATATGCCATAGAAACTTTGGGTAGTTATAGCATATCAGTACATAGCACATGTAATAAAACAGAGAGCGTATTAAAAAAGCTCACCACATGTTACAATGTGTACAATCTCATTGAGATCTACCAACAAGTACACAGTGCAAGAGCCTGTCCAATTGGATACAAATTGATTGAATAGGTAAGTAGGTCCTCATATTACATAGCTTTGGTAGATTTAAGGTTGATTGTGCAGAGATTGTATGGTCAGGTTGTAATGTGTATGATGAGCCTCGAGACTTTCTAGAACCCATAATGTCACACTGATATATCTTTTATACATACACAAAGGTCACATAAGCTTAAGAATTTCCAAACCAGAGCTGCAGAAGAAAGGTATGCAAGAGGCATACAGGAAGGTACTTACAATAGTAAGGTCCCGGCGAGGAGGGGGCCTCTGTCTCATTATAGGAGATTCTGCAGGAATAGGGAAAATTATTTACATAGACTTACTTCACATTCACTTAAAAAAAAAGAGCAGAGCAAGAGCATCTTACGTTAAAGGCAGCCAACAGGAAACGGCCGCAAAGAAGTGAACCTGTTGCTTTGCCCATGCAGAACCAAGCAATGGGTTCACTTTAACATTTTAAATGTAGCGCTGTGTATAGCATTTGAAAAAGGGTTCACTATAATGCCCCCTCCCCAGGAGCACATGCTCACATTTCGTTTGCTCTGTTCAGTCACCAGTAGAGAAGCCCTATGTAATATACAAGTCAATTCAATCAGATCTTATACAGAGGTAAAGACTGTCCCCTCCCCATGTGACAGTCCTGTGCCAATCACCAAGCACTGCTACATCAGAAGGGAAGTCGGCCTCCTTCAAATGTACCAGGTCCCCCCTATTGGGAGTACTTCATGCCTTCTACAGGTGTGAAGGAAAGGTGAGCATATGCTGCTGGGGAGGGGTGTGGGGGGGGGTTTATACGTTTAAAACAGCTGTATTGCCCTGCATAAGCAAAATACGTTTGCTTTCATGTTTTTGGAGATTTCTGTATTTCTCCAGAGAAAAGAACCCACACGTGACATTCCATCTCCCAGAGCCGATATATTTTCCCTGGAGCATTAAAAAAAAGCCAAAAGCCAAAAGATTAGGTATACTTTAAGAGGAACTCTGAGAATTGACAAAATGAACTGTTGCAGTGGGGCTATCCCCACACTGGAAGGGTTAACTGCTTGTTTATGACTAGGGGCCGGAATACAGAAGATACACTGTACTTAGCGGATCCTCAATCCTGCTACTCAATAAAGCTACTCAAACGCCACGTGCTTACAATACAATTATAAAAAAATAAATGATAAAAAGGTGGGAAAAAAAGTCATTTTCGGTTTCAGCCTGACAAATTCTGCTACGTTGCAGTGCCATTCATTTCAATGGCACCCCAAACGCACCTCCCACCTACAGTGCGATTGCCCACTCTGGAACGCACACTACCACAATGCCGTGCGTTTCAGTGAGGTCTGACTCCAAAAAATATGCATGGAGTTTTATTCTGAAGTAAACTTTATGTTTGTAACACTGCATTTCTGTATTTTATTTTAAATTGAGGATGGTATTTCATTTTTTTATGTGATTAATCGAAAAAATAAATCGGCCAACTAATCGATTAGGAAAATAATCATTCATTGCAGTCCTGAACAGAACATTAAAATGGCTGGCTCAAACCTGAGTAGAGCCAATTATCGTTTCTCACTTCTTTTAAAATCTGTGACATGAGCCTGACGCCCAGGAACATCCCTATCACGACTTGTGTAGCTTTGTTGCCTGGAGAGCCCATCCAGGTCTAAAGCACTTGAATTGGCACTGGATCCTGAAGCCAGTTTTTGAGCCAACAGGTCCCCACTAATCTTCGTCAGGTAGGAAGCTGGGGCCCAGCCCTCTGCACCTTTGTACCTAGAAAAGAGAAATAAAGTAATCATCTGCATCAACAAAACGGCAAAATCTTCAACTTGAACGTCGCTAAGTTTTTTATGAAAGCCCCCAAAATGTTTTGTTCACTGCCAACTAAATATTAAACGCACTTGTTTTCAGCACAAACTGACTGAAAGAGCCATCTGCCAGTCTATGGCTAGCCTAACCCACAATAACCAATCATTGCCACATCCTATAGTGAGATTGGGGTCGAAACTAGGAATCATGGTGCGCAGTGGGGGGAAACTCCAGGAAGGTATTACAGAGGCTGTAGGAGGATCAGAGATATGGCCATTAGAGAGGTGAGTATAATACATTGTGTATCAGAGGAAGCTGGCATTGCAAATGTTTTAAACACCTGACAGAGTCATTAAGTCAGACTGCTACAAGATGGATTTGTAATGTTTGTATTGTGCTTCGCTCATAATGGCTACATGGGATTCTACAATAGTATTTCCATCACTCTTTACATACCGGGTTTGAGCTGTACTAGGTACAAGCATAGGAAAAATAAACCCCATGGGAATGGACTTTTATGCCTAATGAACAGGCAAACAGTAGTTCTGTATTCACACAGTGCCTCCAAATAAAGGTGATATACTTGAATAGGAACACAAGAAAAATCTGCGTTTCAATCATTTATTCAACAAAAATATCAATAGTTGTAATGGTGGACTGTGGAAAACTGAAGTAAACCATTGGCTTCAAAAGCTGCCATTGCCCCCTGTAGCAGAAATGGATTCTTGTAGGCATTTTGTATAACTGCCCAGTCTCTGATATTGACTCAGTGACATTGTTGACCACTTCTCCATGCAGAATCCCTTCAGTTACAAGATTTTTGTGGGTTTCCTTGCATGAACTGCCCATTTCAAATCCCCCCCCCTTCCCCCCTACAAAATTTTAATGGGGATCAAATCCAGGCTTTGACTAGGGCCGTCCAAAACCATCTAATTCTTCTTTTTGAGCCAGTCTTTGATAGATTTGTTAGAGTGCTTCAGATCATTATCATGTTGAAAGACTAATTTTTGGTTCCGCTTCAACTATTGGACAGATGGCCTCACAATCTCATTAAAGCACACTTCGATATGTTGACTCAATGGCTGCGAGATGCCCAGGTTATAAAACAGTGAAGCAACCCCAAACCATAACATTTCCATCACGATGATTCACAGTTCTTAATAGGTTTTCTCACCTGAAATGCCCTGATGAAGGGACCCTCTGCGGCCCCTAAAAGTTGGCTATGTGATACATGTGACAATGTATTTAAATAAATGAACCGTCTACCGATTTACAAAAGAGACTATTCACTTAGCAAAGGTAATGTTCACTTAGTGAAGTCAATCAGCCAAATACATGCAAGCAAAAATCCTGTTTTTGTCTTTTAGAACTTCCTTTCCACATGATTGGGTAGTCACAGTGAACACATTTCCCAAGCTGGGTGAACTACTCTATTGCTTTTGTAAATCAACCTTTCTATATTTCATTTGCTGAACTTAAAGTCCATAAAGTAATATATGCACCACTGGGATGGGGTGTAGAGAGGCGGAGTGTTATTCATATTACATGCAAGGGGCACAGTAAAATCGAGTATTGTACATTGTTCTTTGAAAGAGCCTTTAAATAATGTAAAAAATAGCACAAAAAACATTGGGTAAGGGTTTGATACCCTTAAGCTGGCCATACACTATACGAATTTCGGGTGGTTCTTGATGAACTGGCCAAAATTCACTCTGCTTGGGTAATGTTGATGGAGGAATCTAATATTTTTTTCGTTCAGCCCACGGGCAGGGCCAGCTTAAGGGTCATGTCACTCTGGGGATTTTGATGCAGTGATCTATTTTTGTATTTAAATTTCTCGCTAAGAAAATCATAGTTATTTTCCATGGAGTTGCTAACTCGCTAATATTACAGCAATTTGTAGCTTAGTCTTCAGCCATTAACCACTTCAGTACCGACATGTTAAACCCCCTTTATTACCAGGTTATTTTTCAGTTTTCAATGCTGTGAAAGTTTGACAATTACTCTGTCACACAACATTGCATCAATGGCTCTGTATTCACCTCTGTGACTGGGCTACAAATTGCTGAAGGAGTGTGATTTGTAGCAGCAAACACTAAAATAATGATGTAGCGCAGGTATGACCTGTAGTTCTTGTGTGACAAATCGGCAGCTCCTAGAATGAATTTGTAGCTAGCTACAAATCGCTGTTAATAAGCTGGCAGTAGCGATTTGTGGTTGTTGATTACTGGTACAAATCCATGTGTGGCATGGCCCTAGGGAAAAACTATCATACTGTTACATAGTCACATAGTATTTGAGGTTGAATAAAGACATATGTCCATCGAGTCCAACCTAGTGTATGTATGTGTACGTATGTATAGGTCCCTGTGTGTTCTCATCCTTAAGAGTACTTGTACCCCTGTATATTACGGTCCCTGAGGAAATCGTCCAATCGACCCTGACTGATCTAACTAAGAAACCCCTTCGTCCTTTGTGGTGAAATTTTTTCTCCACCAATTTTAGGTGGTGGCCTCTTGTCCTTGTCAGGGAGTTAATTGTAAAGAGTTTGCTGCTAATTTTGCTATCCGCAGTCAACATTGTGTACATGAAAATAATGCCCCCCCTCAATCTCCTTACTTCCAATGAGAACATGTTTAAATTTAGTAGCCTGTTCTCATAGCTCAGGTCCTCCATCCCCTTTATGAGCTTGGTTGCCCTCCTCTGGACTCTTACTGTATGATACTGTATGACAGTAAACTTCCTCTGAATTGTAAATATTACCTTATTTTCCACCAGCCCTCTAAATTCTTCTGGATGACTTCAACAATGGCTCCTTTATCCAGCGTGATTTCATCTTGATCTCTTGCAATATATGGGTAGATTACACTGTATTTCTCATCTGTTAACAAAAGTGAAAGATGTAAATATATGTATACATACTTTCATATATATACATAATTTGTTATATAGTGCAATCCTGCTTGGTCTAATGCTAACCAACATTCATGTAAAGGGGTTCACTTTTTTCCTACACTCCTTTATTGTAAATTCAACAATAACATAATGCAAGAAATCAACACCCGGATTTAGGCCCCTTTCACATGGCCGGTCCACCTATCAGTTTTTCAGGTGGACCTCATCGGATGCCCAATGTAAGTCTATGGGCAGCCGTGTGTAAATGGATAAATGGACAGGCATCTGTTTACACTTGGTTACCCCCCACCTCCAGCCAGGACCATAAAAGCAGAGGGATCATTGATCCGTTCGCCGGACCGGATCGGGGGTAATCTGATGTAAATGGACACATGTCTGTTTACATCCGATTCCCCACAAACTGACATGGGGTCCCCTAATTGCAGTTTTTTCTGGGCGAGAAAACTGTATGGACCTGGATGTCACAGCAGTGACATCCGCTCTGTACCGCTCTGATCAGGAGAGGATCTGTGCACGGATCCTCTCCTGATCAGCCTCTGTGAAAGAGGCCTTAGGGACTTTGTTCTCAAACCAAGCAAACTAGCTAAAAGTCAAATCATCAAGCCAAGTAAAAGCTCCGCTCAGCTTTAGTAACTGGATATCAGGTAAACAAATAAAATAAGAACTCTGGGCAGAATACAAACTAACCCTTGCAGTGGGGCTACCCTCAGAGAACCTCAATCCTGACTGGCTATTGGACCGGTACCCGGAAGCCTCTCTCCCCTTTGCTCCAGCAGTCTAAGGATCAGGGAGTCATCACATCTAATACAGTATATCAGGCGCAAGGGCGTCGAGGGCGAAGGAGAAGAGAGGCTGAGGGGACAGGTCAAGCAGCCAGATGAGACCGCGGTTCAGGTGAGTATATCTTTTTTATTTTACACCCTAGACCAAAACAAGCATTCAACCTTTGCAGTGCCAGGGTAGCCCCACTGAAAGGGTTACATTTTATACTGCCCATAGTTCTTATTTAACCTATTAACCCGACATCTCGTTACTCTTTAAGCTGAGCTTTTACTTAGCTTAAAATGTATGATGATCAGAGCTGTCCTTCACAGAGTTCTTCTTTAATACTCACCACTGCACTTTACTACACAATTATTTTTTCCATAAAATCACACAGGATGAACGGACAAGCAGCTGCTGCAGAACAAATCTCTTTTGCTTTGCACTACATTTCTTGAGATAAATTACAAACCGCAATCCAAAATACCAATGGTGTGTCAAAACAAATCACATTTCAAATAACTCACTGAATTAAGTTCACCATAAGGTTCATGCCTCGGGCATGCAGATAAACATTCCGTGCAAGACATGCAGACGTCAATGGTCAGAGCACATGCACACAGCATCACATAGAAACAGTAAACACAGACAATAAAACAAGCCTCTCTGCACCTGGACCCCATCCACTGGTGTACAAATCCCCAAGAGTCCGTCGGCGGCCCACGTGCCTAGGCAAGGACCAGTATCGCCATGGGGCTGGGAGCATGTTGGAAAGTAGGAAGTGACAAAAAAGGAAATGAGATGTCATGTTTTTCCCCAACAATCCTCTCTTTATGGGATACATTTAGGAATCCAGTTTGTGGGTATTACAACATTCTAACATGTATGTGAAATGACGACATATTAAATAGAATATAAAGTATATCCTTACATGTGGTCATAAGTCACACCCTAAATTTAATCCTGCAGGATCACACCTGTATACTGCCAGTCACTGCGATAGTGGGCCATAATGGAAGCCAATACTTTGTGGACACATGCCATCAACCTTTTATGAGCTTTTCCGATATCTCTTTCCTAAACCTTGGGCAGTTGCTGCCCCAATGCAAGCTCTAAAAGTCTTCCATAAGATTTTGGAGTGAGTTTGTGCTATTGTGTCTCAGCTTTCCAAAAGTGCATTTGTTATATCAGGTAATGGAGTTGGGATGAGAAGATTTGACACAATTAGCATTCCAATTTCTTCTAAAAGATGTTCAACAGAATTAAAGGAGAACTATGAGGCGAGTGATTTTCACTCAGCCTCATAACCTGAGCCGACCTGTGACAATGAGACTGTCACAGGTCGACTCAGTAGATCGGGAAGTGAGCGAACACATACCGTCGCTCGCTCACTTCTCGATCTATCCGTGCAGAAAGCCGTGACTGTCACTCACGGCTCCCTGCAGGGATTCCCCCCTCCTCTGTCTGATCCTCCAGCACTGACTGGTGGAACGGGCGGGGGAGGGGGCGGGTACAGCTGGCTCTGCCTCTAGATAGGTAGACAGAATTTTCGGGATCTGTTCTGGCTGCGGCGTCTCAGTATACCGCGAGCTGTAGCTGAAGGCATCACGAGTACTCAACAAAATACTCGGCATCAGCACCGATATTAGTATCGGTATCTGTGTTTCCCTAGTCTAAAGTAACATATAAATATTTACCCGAACCTCCGACCAGGCTGGATGCTAGACCATTCTTTGAAGCCTCTATTCCCCCTCACTATGGCAGTCAAAGAACCCATGAGTCATCATACCTCACACAGTGTTTAGGTCGTTAGAACACCAATGGACATTGCATCACCAGAGCAGAGAGGCTGCAGGGAATGGTCTAACAGTCAGCCGGGATCGTGGTTCGGGTGAGTATAACTCAGGTATTTTAGCTCCCTAGACCCAAATAAGCACTTAACCCTTGCAGTACGGGGGTAGCCCCACTGCAAAGGTTACATTTTCTTCTGCTCGCAGTTCTTTAAGGACAAGGCTCTGTGAAGGCCACTTTTGATCATATAGTGCATATATAGTTGTTAGCCTAAAGCACATCTAGATGTGAGGAACTTATGTAACATTTGTAATAACCTGCTTCCTCACTGAAAAACAAAAACACTCCATGTTACTGGTACGTATATAAGAGGGTTGCAGCAATGCCATTTGGGATTAGTGTTGTGTGCATTGCGGGCCCAATGATCAATTAGGAAGAGCTTTTAGTTACAGAGCAGTGTGCTGACTACAACTTAAGCCTCTATTTTTTACTATTAAAAAAGTCCTACTAATATCAACAATGTAACAGTATGTAGACAAGTCACACAGGTCTATGCCCTAAGCAGGCTTAAAAAAAGCCCATACCATAGTCTTACACACACAAACAGGTTCTAAGACTATTTTTTTTCTAACCAATAGCTAAACTCCTCACAAACATGGCTAACATACTAAATTCATTCATTATCACATGCCTAGAAGCATGGGGATATGGACTGTAGGGGGTTCTAGTAGTTCATAGGCAGCCGATATAAATGTTTTACTATTTATTTATATTGCTACTGCAACCTACAGTAAGCGATATTACTTGTAGAAAAGTTTAGAAACATGATCACTATCATCCAACGGTTTTGACTTTATGCTTTCCCAGTGTGCTGAAGAAAAAACCTACTAGCCGGCAACTCACAATATATACTTGTGCTTCAATGTCCCCGTTGCAAAGTAGACCATCATGGATTTTTATTAAACAAATTACAAACCATACAACACATAAACACACACAGTACGTGAAGTAGTAAGACACTTAATTAAATGTATAACACATGACAGAAATAGATATAAACATACAAAGCTGTGATGGAAAAGACTGTTTAGTTTTTTAGTGAAAGATATATAATCACTGGTATGTTCATATGCGATAACTAATTAAAGATATTAGCATGAAATGGATGTGTTCCTGGCTTTAACATTTACATGCTCTACTTTTTTCTCTGTGGTATGAATTAGCTGGAATGGAACAATGAAGGGGTCATCTTACCCTCTCCAGGCTGAATGGTGAAGTCATCTTGTCCCCCATCTTGAGCCTCTAGGCAAGTTGCAGGTACCCAGCCCTGCTCATCTGCAGTGCTAACAAACCACCAGCCTAAAACCAACCAATAGTAACATGTTTATGCTTTGCCATGAGCAACAAAAAAATCTTCATTTAACCAACTACATGATGCAGACTCCCGAAACCTAATGTATATATATATATATATATATATGTACACATACGACAGCAGTTAGATATATATACTTTTCTTGAACAGTATACATATCCAAGTGCTGTGAGATGTACACTGCTAGAGAGGGGAGCAAGGTTTATCTTGTTCAAAGCCTCTGGTTAAAGTATATCTATATTCACGGCCATTGATTTATCCTTTTAAACTATTGCCAAATACGGAACATGTAAGATGTAGGTTTAACCTGGTTTACCATATCTCATTTTGATTATGCATCTTCCCCATCAAATGGCAACAAGTCCACTTTTCACCTAAAATGTTTAAAGAAAGGAAGGAAGAAACTTCTGTTTTACCAGATTCATTTTTCTCAATGATATCCACCACTTGTCCAACTCCAAGGCTGATTTCTGAGCTCTCTTGTTTGTCATACGGTGCCGCCACCACATACTGGTCAAGAACCAAATGATCAGCTGATGTAGAGTCTGCACCTGCATCAAAAAAACAAATAAGTAAATGTAAGTTGAACAATTTTAATTAGATGGTAAGGTGATGGAATGATCTTACATAAAATCCAGAGGTGATAAAGAAAAGAAGAAAAAAGATTATCTTCATTGTGATACAATACATATGCAGGTCTGGAACACATAAAACAGCTCACAATGGGGGAAGAATCAATAAACCATTTGCAGCACTTCTCTGGCATTATATTTGCATTAGAAAGTCCTGCAGCAAATTAGTGCAACTTTTTTTTTTGCCATTTCCATGCTACAAATTCTGGTTACGTGCAACCCTTTTACACTCTGGTGCAATAGTTGTGACAAATTCAATAAGAAAAACCTCCATATCTGTGATAAGAAAAGTGGAGAAAAACAAAACCTTGTCCAAGTTGGAGTAAATGTGTTGCACATGTAAATACTGTGTCACAGACCAAATTCTGTCTTGGGCAATTCTGCAAAAGATTCATATACACCTTACCAACAGTTACGTGAATTTGTCACAAGTTTGCACCATTTGCTGCACAGACTGGAGATCTCTATTGATTGTCTGTGTGATGAAATCTGTGTCATTTTAGTCAACAGCAGTAATGTGGTGTAAAGAAGACAGATGACAGCAAATGCCATTAACTAACAGATTCCATTGTGCATTTTGTACACATTTTCACATGTATTCACCCTCAGTGTGGAATAAGGCCATAGGGTTAACGTTTCAGTATAGTGCAGTAAGAACAATCCCTGCATTTCATAAAGAGTGCCTACTACAAATGCCAGTGCTTGCGCCAGATTCATGTACCTGTTAGAAACAGGTACATGAATTTGGTGTAAGTACCATCTTTTGTGGTGTGGAGGTACACTATGGCGTGAGCTTAGCTTTACTCAGCTCACCTCCTGGCAACTACACCTTTCACACAGGCCATGCTGCGGCCAAGGACTTTTGCTGTGGGTCAGCGGAGCATGATAGGGATCTCAGAGACTAGGTCCCCATCAGGTCAGCCTTCCTTGTGATTGACAGCAAGCAGTGGGCAAATTTCATAACCAATAGCAAGCCTATTGCTGCCAATCACAAGGGATGCTGAAGTGTTGGGGAAACTAGTCCCTCAGAATTCTTATCAGGGTCCACCCACTGTCGTCATCATTGACTCCGACTCATCCCCAGCCCCATTCAGCTGCCGGCAGGGAATTTCTCCAGCCGACAGCTGTATGAAAACAAAAGGGGCAGGAGATGCTGGCTGAAATCATTACCCAAATACAGACAAGGTAATGATGTCAGTCAGCATCCCCGGCCCTTTGTTTACATTCAGCTGCCGACTGGGGAATCTCCCAACTGGCAGCTGATTGGTGCCAGGGATGCATCATTGGTTGCTAGGAGGCCAGTAGCCTGCCAATCTGCCTGAATCTGTTGTCTTGGTAAAGCTACCATTACTTACAACAGGTCTTTTTAAAATATGGCGCATGACCTTTTAAAGATGCATAATGCCCCGGAAAGTTATTACATTTATTAAAAACCTTTATTGAACTCTTTACATGTGTAGCATCGGTAGCAAATCATATGACCAATGGGAGCCAAACCTTTTTTTTTACATTTTGGACTGGGAAAGTTAGAAGCTCTGTTGGGTTTTTATTGCTCTTTAGTTATACTTTAAACATATCTTAAATATTCAAGAGTATATTCGACCATCACAAACATGAAAACAGATACTAACATAACATTGTATTACCGCAACAATATAGATATGACTGCTCTCATTGGCTAAAATAAGACAATACTATAAAGCAGTAAAGAAACATAAAAGGCAGACAAACACCTCATAAGGGTAATTCATTCTTAATCTGTTACCAGCCATTGAATTTCCATAGCTATGTAGTTATGTTCAGACACAGCTAGAGGGCACCAGATCACAAGAAGTGCTATAGTTCTATTTCCCTGAAGATCGATGCACAGTAGTTTTAGTATGCACTAACATACATTTTTGCCACAGATAACATCTGAATGACTGATGTAGCAAAAACCCAACGTAACGAATAATAATAAATGTTAATTTAGGTTATTAAAATGTCCTTTGTATTCTATGGCAGCAAGCCATGGTTTTCTGCAAGGGTTCATGTTGAGTTGCCAAAAATCCAGAGCTTTGTTCAGGTTGACTTCGTCCCATAGTTCATGTGTATCAATGAGTATTACGATGCAAACACTGCTAGGGCTGCAACAACTACTCGTTAAAATCGATTAGCTGATTGTTTGATCAGTTGGATCCGCAGCTGCCGTAGCTCCGCTCCCCTTCCCGCTGGTGCTGGCTGCAGCGGTCTGTGTCGCTTTCAACCCCAGCTGCTCTCTCGGCAGAGGGGACAAAGACTGCTGCAGCCGGCACTAGCAGGGAGGAGAGACTGCTGTGCCTCTGCATTACCCTGCTGGTGCCCCCCCATTCCTTCTCTGCTCCCCCTGTGCCTCCTCTTCTGCCAGCAGTAGAAAGCCGGCGTCAAAACTCCCTTCAGTGGCTGGGAGCAATATCCAGCCTGCTATTGGTTTTTTTAAACTGCAATAGCCAAAAGCAGGCTGGCTATTGCACCCATCCACTGCCTGCAGTCAATCAGCAGAGGAGGACCTGAAGGAGAACTTTCTACTTCAGTTCCCTCCCCTGCTGAATGACAGCAGGCAAAGGGCGGGTGCAATAGCCAGCCTGATATTTTTGGACCCCCTAATATCACCTAATGTCACATAGGGGGCTTGTGATGTAAAAGTTAAATTAAATGAAATTAAAAATACCCCCCAAAAATGTTAAGTCCCCCAACCCTGCGAACGCGCGTATATTAATGTAAAAACAATGATTGTGCTACACATGTCAGGTATCATTGCTTTCACTGGAATCAGAGCAATAATTCTCGGGCTAATATTCATGCCTAACTCTAAACTGATGAGCGAGTTTTTATAATATATAAACATGATATATTTATAAAAATTCTGCTCCGGGGTGTGCGTTGTGGTGCCATTAATTTCAATGGCATCCCAAATGCACCTCCTGGCCGCATTGTGATCACCTGCAATGCCATGTGTTTTAGTGCAGTGCGAGTGAAAAAAATGTGCATAACGTTTTATTCTGAAGGAAACTTTATGTTTCTAACACTTCATTTGTGTATTTTTTTAAATAAAATATGGTATTTATTTTATCCGATCAAAAAAATAAAAAAATCGGCCAACTAATCGATTATGAAAATAATTATTAGTTGCAGCACTAAACATTGCACATGAAGCACAGACCAGTGGAAAGAGATATAAAGCTCAACAAATGCCAAAAGGTGCGCTCTGAGCTGTTTGGTTGAGTGCACACTCTTGGGCTTAGTGGCTATGGGGGAATATTATTGCCCCTCAACCCAATAAAGCTTATGGAGGTATATACTAATAGCCAAAAATTAAAAGTTTACTTTACTGTGACTATTGGCACCAAAACTCTGTTGATGGGCCGAATTGCCAGAATTAAAATCCCCCTGCTCTTTCTATTGGTTCCCTGAAATATATATATGACTTATAACCCTTGTTATTATTTGACTCTGTTTGTAGCCCCCAAAGATTGATAACGCCAATCTTTAACACCTTGTATATAATTAGTTGGATTTACGCTGTACACTTTACAGATTAACTCATTAAAAAAACTTTAATGCTTGCTGTGTACAATAAAGATTAAAAAAAGGTGCACTCCCACGTAGCTTTGATTTTAAAAAATTCAAATCAATTCCACTGGCAGCCTGTAACAATAATCATACCACAAAGATCCTTTCACCCGGGGAGTGGACAAATTCATTTGAATTTCAGAATCCAGTCTGTCCAATCCAGTAGCCAGAAGAACTGTTCTAGGCACCAGCTCCACTGAGAACTGCGGAAAACCTACAAAGTTGTGAACCAGCTGTAATTTTTAAGGAGCACTGGCTACCCAACTCCTGGGGTTTGTCCAGCCCTGCTTTCACCAATTACAGCCAGTTAAAACTAAATAAGGGGGTATGTCTAAACTTTTAGTAGGCATGTCTGCCAGTGCTAGGAGAAGCAACCATGGCACCGAAGGCAAAGGTGCCAAAAGAGGGCACTTGCATATCCACAAGTACAGTGAATGGCCCAGCACAGGGTGCATCAATGACAGTCGAAGTTCACCGGCCCTAAGGTCACTGCCCTAAGGTCACTACCCTAGGATCCATGGCAAGTTGAAATAAAAGTAGGGGCGGGTGGTGACATGGTTAAACCAGTGTCATAACGAGCCGAGTGAAACAGAGCTAGGTTTTCATTACCATAATGGTAACCAAGATTTATTCCTCCATCTGGGAACTAAAGTAGCCTTATCTAAAATGTTAATTATATTCTGCAAGTTGTCTTCTTCGTAAAATGCATTCAAAATGATTTATATGGTACAAAGATTTTTAATGTAGGTGAACAAAAACAAACAAAAATGTGAAAGTTTACAAAAGCTTTCTCAATATGTTTCCCAACTAATGTGCAGGCACAGCAGCAGGACCCAGGATAAAATCATCCTCTTTATGCAAAATCATTCCACTACAAAACGTTCTGCACAAGGCTGAGTAAACCCAAGCAATGGTCTTACCGAGTTTTCTTCTTCCAAAGGGCTCTCTGAAAAAGAAACAAAATCAATTATCAGAACTGGCAAAAACATATCGACACCAAACTGTTCTATATGTGGTCAGGTTTTAGAAAAAGCATCTCTCACACACAAACTACCTAAAGGAACAGATTGCTAGGTGCTAATACTTTGAACGTAAGTCTATAAAACAGAACCAAAAAGGAAAACTTGTTGGGAAATGCTCAGTCATGCAATACTGTTGATTAACTTTGTTACTTTAAAAGAGAACTATGGCCAAACCTTTGTGGCATCAGTTCTCTTTTGGGCCATTTACTAATTGTCCGCCTGTGACCCAAATTTCAGCATATAGTAGGCCATTGCCCTCTCAATGCTGACAGTGCAGAGCCGCGCTGCACTCGGGAAGGATCCTGACAATATTATCTGGATCCACCCCGCTACCTGATTGACAGCTGTGACCACCCCCTCCCGTCTGTCCCTCCAATCAGACCTGGAGGAATGGAGAGGGGAATACCTACAGGGAGAAGTGACGGTCTTCACTCTCTGCAGGGAGATGAATGCGCACTAAGCGATCAGCAGTTTGTGAAACAGTCTAAACTAAAGTATGACCGAGTAGTGATCAAGAGATGGCATACAATCAGTAGTTTTTGCACTTCGTTATCTGTAATCTGTTTTAATGTACTCACAAGCAGCATTAAAAATGCTGCATTACTAGAGTTCAGTATAAAAATGTGGTAACTGGGTATACCACAGTTATGCAGTAAAGAACTATAGATTTTATGGACAAAGCTTGGCATTTACGACCAAAGAAAAGCATCCCGCCCCCCAACAAACATTCTGGGTCACCGTTCTCCCCTGATTTGCAGCTGTGTCACTGGAGAGAGCTGAATATTTTCCTAGTAGTGTAGATCATCAAGTAGGAAATCCTGAATAGCAGCCAAACGCCCTATATTTAATACGCTCCACAAATGTCTATCCATTTCTATGCATTTTCCTGGCTATGTAAAATGTGTGAAAGTGCTTAAACTGAAGGCATAAATACACAGAATGATGACAGATGCTGTGCTGGAGTGCACATTTTATCCACTCATGAACTGGAACAAAACTGTGATTAATGCAGCTGGTCTTCACTGTCTACAAGAGTTTACTGAAGAATGCTGTGACGTTCTTGGGGTACTACCAATTTAAGTAAAAGAACTACAGAGAGTTAACATGTCAATGGAGGATATCCTGGGGACCAGGCTGTCTTTTCTGAGTTTATATATATGGTTCCCGCGAAGTGCAATTGCACATTTTATTATACAGTCAGATCAATTCACCAACATCGCACATCAAGGACTAACCATTTTCTGGCAGTACTTCCACTTTTAGCCATAATTTTTACTACTTATCCAGTCAACAGGCTACCAGTGTCGACTAGCCCTAGTTTGAAACTTACATTTAAAGTGCTACTATAGCCAAACAAAAGTAAACACTTACTGGCCACTTTATGAGGTACACCTGTTCAACTGCTGGTTTACACAAATATCTAATCAGTCGATCACATGGCAGCAACTCAATGCATTTAGGTGTGTAGACATGGTCAAGATGATCTGCTGACGTTCAAGCCGAGCATCAGAATGGTGAAGAAAGGTTTTTTCAGTGCCTTTCAACATGGAATGGTTGCTGGTGCCAGACTGGCTGGATTTAAACCCAGTGACAGATAATTGTTGCTGGCCACATCTATCCTGCGTCCAGTGCCAGTCAATGATATCCAAACCTGCATATAGATGCAGCCTGTCACCATCTGAATGGGACACCTGAGATTTCTCCCGCAGAAATCCCTATTTTCTTGCCGCAGGAATGCCAGATCGTCCCATGATGAGGCCTCAATCACACCATACCCGGACCAGATCCAGACCAGAACGTTTTTTTTTGTCCGCACCTAAAATGCATTCCAACTTATTCCTATGGTATTTCTGAGCTCTGTTCACACTAGTGCAGTCTGTTCCAGTGCGGGGAACATCTACCTATAAAATCTACATATAAAAATGAGTTGTATATAATAATTTTAAAAAGTTTGAGTTTTCTTTTGAAATAAAAATACTATTACTATTATTATTTTTTTTTCAAAAGAAAACTCAAACCTTTTTAAATTATTAATTACAACCCATTTTTATATGTAGAATTTATATGTAGATAATAAAAAATAGTAATTCTTTTTTCCAAAAGAATATCAAACCCTTTTTTATCATTATTATTAATAATAAAAGCTGACACCCTCGGCTTGTGTTATATGGTTTGCCATTTTGCGGTTACAGCAGTGGTTCTCAACCTGTGGGTCGCTGTGTGATTTCTGCTGTACTAGGCGAGAGTCCTCCTCAGCCCTCTCCTATCGCAGCAGTGTCAGTTCTCCCACCAAGCTTCCAGATGCCGCTGCAGCAGCCGCGTCATCCCTAAATTTTACCGTTGGGGGTCACCATAACTTGGGAATCCTCAATAGGCAATGTGTTTTGATACTGCGAGATATCACAGGGTCCACAGTAGGAAAGCCCCATTTTTTTAATTAAAGGACTCCTCAAACAGGTATTGCTCAGAGAAACGTTTTGGACCAGTGCAAGTTTTTTTTCAGGTTTTTCCCAATCTCTATGTAAAACATCCTTAAGTAAGGAACTTCGACTAATCGATTTTGAAAATAATCGTTAGCTGCAGCTCTAAATATTATATTTGTAAGCCTGGGGGAAATGACAACTGACTGCTATTCCTCAGAAGCGAGCTAATCCAAAAGGGATTTATAAGACTCCTCATCGTCTAAGCCATCAGCAGCAGAAGTCTCGGAGGCTGCAACCGCTACAGGGATGTAAAATAAAGCTTCTTGTGGAGAAGGCACGGAAGTGAGCTCACAGCCTTTGCGGTAGAAGTCTGCAAGCAAAGCGGTATAAAATCCAATATGGCTGCGGAGAACTCCTCCCTGAATAAAGGCAGAGGAGGGTACACCTGAGAGAATTATGGCAGAATCAGAAAAATGTGTAGACTCAAGTTGGGGACAACAGTTCAGGCTGTTGGTGTCAGAACTCTGAGGAGGGAAATTGCAGGCAGCCCAAGAGCTTTTAGCAGGACCATTTCTGCTGTGCTTAGGATCCCACATAATACACTGCTAACAGTAGTACTAAATGGAGAAAACTAGGAAACCATTTGTACTCATAGCAACCAATTTGCTAAATAGCAGGAAGGGTTAATGGCTGGAGGTCTGAGAAGGTCACTTAGTTACTATAAAACTAACAGCAAATATACAGTATAAGAAACAAAACTATGGTTTGCTAGCAGCACATTACCACAAATGTTTTCATTATGTACAACTTGAATGGCTGACAAAAATTAACTGACTGATGAATGCTGAAGGCAAGCTGGAAGAAGAGTTTCCCCTAGTAACTTGATTGCGGCTGTAATTTTGTAATGGCAGGTTAGATTGTAGAATCAATACTATTGGAATCAGTTGCTTTAAACACCATCAACTATGCCATCTCTGGAAGAGAACGCTCATGTGTCCTGGATCAGGAGGCAAATTCACAAGAGATAAGGGGGAGCGCATAAGACATTCCCGAGCCGGACAATTAATGTGTATATAGATGTGCCTTACAATCATCATCCACAATGATTCATATATAAAGTTCGTATAGTCTCCCATGCTCAGGTGTGTGGAGTAGATCATAGGTTAGCCTGTCAATCCAATAGCAAACCACAACATATTGTACTTGCTTAAATAGTAATGTCCCTGATGTGCAGACAGCAGCAGAAAGCCCCATATAACATCCCTACTCTACTGTGCAAAATGCCAAATACTTGCTTATAGCATGAAGACAGACACAGTTAGAAGGAGAGATACAGACTCTGGTCTGGTCACTGACCTGCTATGCGATAAAGAAATGTGATATTGTGTAATGAAATGAGACACATGTGAATGCCTTCTGTTCTAAAAAGGCTTTACTGTGCTAAGCACTAGTTCAGTTAGAGGGCTTTTTGATTCTATTAGTCTTTAAAAAAAAAAAAACTGTAAAGCCCATCTCCACAAGGGAAAAAAAACTCCACTTGCGGCAAGGCTGTTCCAAACTGCAAGGGTTAAAAGCTTGTTTAGATCTATGGTACCTGAGTGAAGTAGTAGCACTTACCTAATCCCTGTTTGCCCCAGCAGTTGACACTGTTTGTTTACCCTACGCTCTGGCTTGTGCACTGTTCCTTGGCGATCTCAAGTATAATGCAGGACTATGGGCCCTGCATTGCCCTTGCTGGCACCAGCGGGTCTCCATGCGCCAGAGCGTAGGGACAAGAGGCTGCAGATGCCGTTCTCGTAGTCAGCAGGAGCAGGGATCTGGTAAGTAAATACTGTATCCTTTTCCCAGGTACCCTAGACTTAAATGAGCATTAATCCCTTGCAGTGCGTGGGGCAGCCCCACTGCCAAGGGAGCTTTAACTTTAAAATCTTTTAATAATCAGAAAGCCTGGTACTGCTGTATCCTTTTCTTTTTAATTCTAAAAATATAGTCACAAAGGGAATGTATTTAAAAAGTATTTAAAGTGCACTTGTGCCCAGACTACAGACATTAAAGCATTTTACATATTCTTAAACAGTAAAAGATCTTTCAATCAAACCATCCCAGAGTGTTCTAGCTGCGTGTTGTTAAGTTGTTTTAGCCTCTCTCTTTTATATATGGAAGGTCTTTAAAACTCTGTGAGAAATAAATTATCTCAGTTACTGAATAGAGATGACACTGAGTGAGAGGTCATATACCATGAAAACAGAGGATGGCTAAAAAATAGAACATGTCAAATAATGCTATTAGCTAATGAAGTCTTAAGTGCACTCACAATAATAAGACATACATACTGCAAGTTAAACAGGGCATTGAGAGGATACATCTCAGCTCATCCTTGGCTTCTGTCCTAAAACTATATCAAACATGCAAGTTGCCATCTTATTCAGAGGAAAGTTGCCTTAAACCAAAGTCTAATGGGTATTTTAATGAAAAAGTGGAAATCTATGCTAAATTTAGAA